CCGCCACCAAGTTCGTAGAGAACGAGGGGAGGTAGAGACCTGAAAGCGTGCCGGACGGGACCGCAGGACAAGGAAGAACAGTGGAGGAGGTGGCAATGACCGGACCCCCAGAGGGGTCAGCAAGGGAGACAGCAACTGGCCGAGCGAGTGGCTCAAGGACAGTGCGGTCACGAAAGAAAGAGCGAGAGGCACCTGAGTCCAGTGTGAAGGTGTGCAGTGCTGCAGTCAACTCAGTACCAGGGGGCACGGACGCACTAGCACCTAGGGCAGCAGCCTCACCAGGACCTGTGGGAGCAGACGCACTAGCACCTAGAGCGGCAGCCGGACTGGCCTGAATGCCCGGGTCGGGCGGAACACGCAAGTACTGAGCACCCTCTCCACTAATAGACATGGCATACATGGCAGTGAGAATAGCATCAAAGTCTAGAGCCCAAATATCAACACCCCTCTTTTCCAGATCAGCCCAGCGCGGCAGCTCAGCGGCATCAGGAAACTGGGTGCGCCACGCGTCGTTAAGGCGCGCGAAGCAGCGGTGCGTGGGGTGCGGCCTCCCACACTGCTGGCCGCTGCGGTCACCTGTGCGAATGACGTACGTGCAGGTAAAGCCACGCTGCGCATACCACTCACGGGCGGCCTGAAGCGTCGGGGCGGGCTGCTGACTCGGGCCTCCGCCAGTGCCTCCACGACCACCACCGCCACCACCACCGCCTCGGCCACCTCCACCCCTGCCGCCGCCACGACCACCTCCACCTCCGCTGCCGCCTCCACCCCTGCCACCGCTCCCGCCGCTGCTGTCTCCTCCCCCACTGCCGCCACTAGCCTCCCCAGTCGCGCCTCCACTCCCACCGCCTCCACCCCCACCTCCTCCGCCACCACCCCCACCCCTGCCTCCCTTGCTCCTGCGGCGCCCGCTCGAAGCAGACGCGGTCCCAACCTTCTCAGCACCAAGGAGGTCGACAGCAGCAGCAGAGGCGACAGAGGGGAGGAGGGGGGAAGGGGAACACCCCTCGAAGAACGGGGTGCGGGGGTCGCCACGAGAGGTGCCTACAGCGACGATGCTCGCCTCAGCTGCAAGCAGTTCCTTCTCGAGGAGGGCAACAGTGAGCTCAGTGGGGGAGCGAGAGAGGAAGTGGTCCCTGACTGCGCGCAGAGAGTCAGGGAGGCGGGTGACGATGTGGTAGAGAGTGATCCAGAGCGGGGGGGGGTTGCTAGTGAGAAACTCGGCAGGCATAGCAGCGCGAAAGCGGGCCTCACTAGTCTTAAGGTGGGTGATGAGGTCTGCGACAGTGTGAAAGGAGGCTAGGTCGGGGAACAGGTAGGGGAGAGTGAGGCGGCCTAGCGTAGCAGAAGCGGGTGAGGAGTAACGGGCAACTACAGCGGTGTAGAGGTCCTTAGCAGTCTTGCACTGGCCGAAGTGCTCGCGCTCGTCTAGCGGCAGGGAGTTGCAAATAGCAAAGCGAGCGTGCGCATCACGAGTCTGCCACTGAGAGCGTAGAGTGCTGTCAGCAGACGTGTCAGGGGCAGTAGCATGGCCTAGGGCGTGGTCGTACAGCGAGATGTCTTCTTTGGCAGTGAGCTGTAGGAACAGGTGCAGGTCATCTAGCCAGGTTTCGAACTTCACCGGACGGCCCTCGGCATCGAAAGCTAGAACGGGAGGACTAGCCATAGTGACAGTAGTAGGAGTAGGAACTAGGCCGCTGGAAAGGTGTGCGTAGGGTCAACGGGGCCGGCGGGGCCGCTAGGTAAGGCGCGGGCGGGGTCGACTGTCCGTAGTGGCACACGAGCGGCAGTAGTAGGGAGCGTGGCAGCAGGAGCTGCAACGGCGCACTGGTGGCAGCTGCAGCGGCAGCAGTGTGCGCGGTAGGTAGAAAAAACAGTGGGAGCGAGCGCCTCGCGGGCGGCGGCTGCAGAAGCGCACGGGCGGCAGCGGCAGCGGCAGCGGCGGCGCACAGGCGGCAGCAGTGCACGTGCGGCGACGGCAGGAGGCGGCGGTGCGCAAGCAGCAGCGGAAGCAGCGCACGGGCGGCAGCTGCGTATGCGCACGTGCGGCAGTGGCAGCGGCGCACGGGCGGCTACGGGCAGCGGGGCGTGCGCGAGCAGGCGACGAGCGGCTGCGGGGCGTGCGCGAGCAGGTGACGGGCGGCTGCGGGGTGTGCGCGAGCAGGCGACGGGCGGCTGCTGACGTGCGGCCTCTGCGACGGCGGGCTGCGGGCCTGCGGGGCGTGCGCGAGCAGGCGACGGGCGGCTGCAGCAGCGGGTGCGTCAGCGTGGCGCACAGGGCAGCGGCGGGCAGTGCGCGAGGCCACGAGGCGCACGGGCAGCAGCGCAAAGGCGCGCGGGCAGCGGGGAGGCAGTGCGACGGGCCGCGCGCGAAGAAAATAAAGCGCGCGCGGGCAGCTGGCGGGGCGCACGCGTGAAAACGGCCGCACATGTGTAGATCATGGAGCAGGCAATTTTCCGTCATGGAGGTCCCTGACCAATCGCTCTCGCTTCACTCCTAGGCAATTTTCAGCATAATTGCAGGTCCGCGAACTCACAAATGACATCTTTACATTGAAGAAAAAACCTCGTTTCGGACGTTTGTATTTCCGAGAAGCGAAAACAGCCGCACCTGTGTAGATCATTGAGCAGGCAATTTTCCGTCGTGGAGGTCTCTGACCAATCGCTCTCGCTTTACTCCCAGGAACTTTACAGCAAAATTGCGGGATCCCAAACTCACAAATGACATCTTTACATTGAAGAAAAAACCTCGTTTTGGACGTTTGTAGTTCCGAGAAGCGAAAACAGCCGCACCTGTGCAGATCATGAGCAGGCAATTTTCCGTCGTGGAGGTCTCTGACCAATCGCTCTCGCTTTACTCCCAGGAACTTTCCAGCAAAATTGCAGGATCCCAAACTCACAAATGACATCTTTACATTGAAGAAAAAACCTCGTTTCTGACGTTTGTAGCCCCGAGAAGCGAAAACAACCGCACCTGCGCAGATCATGGAGCAGGCAATTTTCCGTCGTGGAGGTCCCTGACCAATCGCTCTCGCTTCACTCCCAGACACTTTCCAGCATAATTGCAGGTCCGAGAACTTACAAATGACGTCTTTACATTGAAGGAAAAACCTCGTTTCGGACGTTTGTAGCCCCGAGAAGCGAAAACAGCTGCACCTGTGCAGATCATGGAGCAGACAATTTTCCGTCGTGGAGGTCCCTGACCAATCGATCTCGCTTCACTCCCAGGCACTTTCCAGCATAATTACGGGTCTGCGAACTCACAAATGGCGTCTTTACATTGAAGGAAAAACCTCGTTTCGGATGTTTGTAGCCCCGAGAAGCGAAAATAGCCGCACACGTGCACATCATGCAGCAGGCAATTTTCCGTCGTGGAGGTCCCTGACCAATCGCTCTCGCTTCCCTCTCAGGCACTTTCCAGCATAATTGCGGGTCCGCGAACTCACAAATGACGTCTTTACATTGAAGGAAAAACCTCGTTTCGGACGTTTGTAGCCCCGAGAAGCGAAAACAGCTGCACCTGTGCAGATCATGGAGCAGGCAATTTTCCGTCGTGGAGGTCCCTGACCAATCGATCTCGCTCCACTCTTAGGCACTTTCGAGCAAATTATTGCGGGTCCGCGAACTCACAAATGGCGTCTTTACATTGAAGGAAAAACCTTGTTTCGGACGTTTGTAGCCCTGAGAAGCGAAAACAACTGCACACGTGCGCATCATGCAGCAGGCAATTTTCCGTCGTGGAGGTTGTTAAGAGAACTAGGCAAGAATGATTCATTGAATGGAAGAATTGGGTACAAGTAGCAAACCCTAGTTGGGGTTGTACCCCATATCAGCTACCCCACTACAGCCTACCAACATATAACACATTACAATTTAACACACCCCCATAGGCAAAGTGGGGGAGAACAAAGGGTCACAAGACCAGTCCAGCAAAGCAACGCAAGCCCAGGGTGGATCACAAAGTCACCACACTCCGAGCACAAGCAAAGGCCACAAGGCCAGTTCACATGCAGTGCTAGATATAGTACAAGACAAGCAACAAGATATATATAAAGTACAGTACAAAGAATGTCAAGCAGTGAGCAAGTGAGGAAACGTGGACACAAGGCCTAAAGAAGTACAGTGCCGCTGATGATCACTAGGCGGGAGCGCCTTGGTGAAGATATCAGCAGTGTTGGCCTTCGAGTCCACGTACACAAGCCGAAGCTGACCTCGCTGCTGCAGCTCTCGAGCAAGAAAGTAGCGAAGAGCAATGTGCTTCGTCCTGTGCTCCAGTCTGTGCTCCTGACACAAGGCAAGGGCCGCCTTGTTGTCGCCGTACAGAACTGGAGGAGAACTAGGCCGCTCTCCCAAGTCAGTCAGCAGGTAGGTGAGCCAGCGTAACTCCTGTGCAGCCATGGCCGTGGCGTAGATCTCAGCCTCACAACTAGAGCTGAGAACAGAAGAAGAACGGGTGGACCGCCACGAGACAGAACCAGAGCCAAGGCTGAAGGTGTAACCCTGCGACGACCGCTGCGTAGCCAAGTCGTCCACCCAAGAAGCGTCCGAGTGACCAGTGAGAACAACTCTGTCGTGTCCTCCAAGCACCAGCCCCATGCCTGATGTACTGCACAAGTAACGCAGCACCCTCTTAGCAGCCTCCCAGTGCTCTCTCCTGTGTCTCCCAGGCGCAACGTAACGAGCAAGGATGCTAAGAGGGTACGCGAGGTCAGGTCGTGTGCAAGTCATCAGGTACATGAGGCAGCCTACAAGCTCTGGGTACGGGCCACTCGGCTCTACGGACTCGTCCGAAGGTGGAGCTGAGAGCGAGTGGCTGGTAGCCAGAGGTGTGGCCTGTGGTGAGGAGAACTGGAAGCCGAAGCGCTGAAGGACCTGCTGCACCATGTGTGACTGAGTCAGGGTGATGGTGCGGCGAGCTCTGTCCCGGGTGATCTGCAAGCCAAGGTAGCTACGCAGTTCACCCAGGTCAGTGCAGGTGTGTCTCTTCTGCAGCTCCGACTTCACACGAGCGAGTGCCTCAGTGTCAGCAGTAGCAAAGACCAAGTCGTCGACTGGGGACGCTGCTGCTGCTGGGAGCTCTGGCCCGAGCCGGTGCCTCCACTCCGACCTCCACCGCCGCCACTACCTCCGCTCCGACCGCCACCACCGCCACCGCCACCGCCACTACCGCCACCGCCGCCACTGCCGCCGCTGCCACCACCGCCACTGCTCCCGCCGCCGCCCCCGCCTCCGCCGCCGGCCCCACTCCCACCGGCACTCCCGCCACCGCTCCCTCCAGCACCGCCTCCCCCCCCACCTCCCCCACCCCCTCCCCCCCCAGCGCCACCCCCGCCACCCTTGCCCCCCTTGCCCTTGCCGGTGCGGCGCCTCCCACCAGGAGCAGAAGCAGCGCCAGCAGACTCAGCACCAAGGAAGTCAACAGCAGCAGCAGTAGCGTAGGAGGGAGCGAGGGGAGAGGGAGAACACCCCTCAAAGATGGGGGTGCGAGGAGCGCCGCGAGCAGCACCTACAGCTACAATGCTCTTCTCGGCTGCTAGCAGCTTCTCCTCTAGGAGGGCGACAGTGAGCTCAGTGGGACAGCGAGCAAGGAAATAGTCGCGCACTGAGCTGAGGGTGTCAGGGAGACGGGTGACTATGAAGTGGAGTGCCCAGTACAGGGGAGGGGGGTTCTTAGCGCAGAACTCGGTGGGAAGGGCGGCACGCAGGCGAGCATCACTAGTGCGAAGGTGGGTGATAAGATCGGCGACTGTAGCAAAGGTGGACAGGTCAGGGAACAGGTAAGGCAGCATGAGACGGCTAAGCTCGGCTGTGGCAGGTGAGGAGTAGCGAGCAACGACAGCGTCGTATAGGGCTTTAGCGGTTTTGCAGTCGCCAAAGTGCTCTAGCTCAGCTAACGGCAGGTGACTGCGAATAGCCAGGCGAGCTGCAGCGTAACGTACACTAAGCTCGGCTGTGGCAGCAGGAGCAGCGGCAGCACCAGACGCGTAGTCATAGAGGGAGATGTGGTCCGTGCTATTGCTCATAAGATACAACTGCAGGTCGTCGAGCCAGGAAGTGAACTGCACGGGACGGCCCTCAGCATCGAAGGAAAGAACGCGAATAGAGGCCATGGCTCAGGCGTGAAGGCACAGCAGAGCAGCGGCAGCAGCAGAGGGGACGCGCTAGAGCGAAGCTAGCAGCCACAGCAGGAGCAAGCGGCGGTGCACAGGCAGGGAGCAGCAGGCGAGGCGGGCGGCGCTGCAGGCGGGAAGTGCGGCGGGCGGGCTGCGAAGCGGGCAGCGGGGCGGGCGGGCGACGCGGCGAGCGGGCAGCGCGGCGGGCGGGCGACGCTGCAAGCGGGCAGCGGGCGGGCGGGCGACGCTGCAAGCGGGCAGCGAGGCGGGAGGGCGACTCTGCGAGCGGGCAGCGGGCGGGCGGGCGACGCTGCGAGCGGGCAGCGAGCGAGCGGGCGACGCTGCGAAGCGGGCAGCGGGCGGGCGGGCGACGCTGCGAGTGGGCAGCAAGCGGGCGAGCGGGCGACACTGCGAGCGGGCAGCAAGCGGGCGGGCGACGCTGCGAAGCGGGCAGCGGGCGGGCGTGCGACGCTGCGAGCGGGCAGCGAAGCGGGCGGGCCGCGAAGCGGGCAGCGAGCGGGCGGGCGGGCTGCGAAGCGGGCAGCGGGGCGAGCGGGCTGCGAAGCGGGCAGCGGGGCGAGCGGGCGACGCTGCGAGCAGGCAGCGCGGCGGGCGGGCGGCGAGCGGGCGGCTCGGCGGGCGGGCGACGCTGCGAGGGGCGCGCGAGGGCGCTAACGAGGGGCGCTTCGAGGGCGCTAGTGAGGGCGCGCGAGGGCGCTAACGAGGGGCGCGCGAGGGCGCTAACGAGGGCGCGCGAGGGCGCTAACGAGGGCGCGCGAGGGCGCTAACGAGGACGCACGAGGGCGCTACGAGGCTAGGGCACGGGGTAGCGTGGTAACCGCATGCGAGCGGTGGTGGGCCCTTAAAAGAAACGGTCGATAGGTCCTAGGGACCTCCTGCTCTGAATACCATGTTAAGAGAACTAGGCAAGAATGATTCATTGAATGGAAGAATTGGGTACAAGTAGCAAACCCTAGTTGGGGTTGTACCCCATATCAGCTACCCCACTACAGCCTACCAACATATAACACATTACAATTTAACAGAGGTCCCTGACCAATCGCTCTCGCTTCACTCCCAGGCACTTTCCAGCATAATTACGGGTCCGCGAACTCACAAATGGCGTCTTTACATTGAAGGAAAAACCTTGTTTCGGACGTTTGTAGCCCCGAGAAGCAAAAACAGCCGCACACATGCACATCATGCAGCAGGCAATTTTCCGTCGTGGAGATCCCTGACCAATCGCTCTCGCTTCACTCCCAGAATTTTTTCAGCATAATTGCGGGTCCGCGAACTCACAAATGACATCTTTACATTGAAGAAAAAACCTCGTTTCGGACGTTTGTAGCCCCGAGAAGCAAAAACAGCCGCACCTGTGCAGATCATGGAGCAGGCAATTTTCCGTCGTGGAGGTCCCTGACCAATCGTTCTCGCTTCACTCCCAGGCACTTTCCAGCATAATTGCGGGTCCGTGAACTCACAAATGACGTCTTTACATTGAAGAAAAAACCTCGTTTCGGACGTTTGTAGCCCCGAGAAGCGAAAACAGCCGCACCTGTGCAGATCATGGAGCAGGCAATTTTCCGTCGTGAAGGTCCCTGACCAAACGCCCTAGCTTCACTCCCAAGCACTTTCTAGCATAATTATGGGTCCCAAAACTCACAAATGACGTCTTTACATTGAAGAAAAAACCTCGTTTCGGACGTTTGTAGCCGCGAGAAGCGAAAACAGCCGCACCTGTGCAGATCATGGAGCAGGCAATTTTCCGTCGTGGAGGTCCCTGACCAATCGGCTCGCTTCACTCCGAAGCACTTTCCAGCATAATTGCAGGTCCGTGAACTCACAAATGACGTCTTTACATTGAACATGAAACCTCGTTTCGGACGTTTGTAGCCCCGAGAAGCGAAAACAGCCGCACCTGTGCAGATCATGGAGTAGGCAATTTTCCGTCGTGGAGATCCCTGACCAATCGCTCTCGCTTCACTCCAGGCACTTTCCAGCATAATTGCCGGTCCGAGAACTCACAAATGACGTCTTTATATTGAAGAAAAAACCTCGTTTCGGACGTTTGTAGCCCCGAGAAGCGAAAACAGCCGCACCTGTGCAGATCATGGAGCAGGCAATTTTCCGTCGTGGAGGTCCCTGACCAATCGCTCTCGCTTCACTCCCACATACTTTCCAGCATAATTGCGGGTCCGCAAACTCACAAATGACGTCTTTATATTGAAGAAAAAACCTCGTTTCGGACGTTTGTAGCCCCGAGAAGCGAAAACAGCCGCACCTGTGCAGATCATGGAGTAGGCAATTTTCCGTCGTGGAGGTCCCTGACCAATCGCTCTCGCTTCACTCCCAGGCACTTTCCAGCATAATTGCGGGTCCGCGAACTCACAAATGACGTCTTTACATTGAAGAAAAAACCTCATTTGGACGTTTGTAGCCCCGAGAAGCGAAAACAGCCGCACATGTGCAGATCATGGAGCAGGCAATTTTCCGTCGTGAAGGTCCCTGACCAAACGCCATAGCTTCACTCCCAGGCACTTTCTAGCATAATTATGGTTCCCGGAACTCACAAATGACGTCTTTACATTGAAGAAAAAACCTCGTTTCGGACGTTTGTAGCCCCGAGAAGCGAAAACAACCGCACCTGTGCAGATCATGGAGCAGGCAATTTTCCGTCGTGGAGGTCCCTGACCAATCGCTCTCGCTTCACTCCCAAGCACTTTCTTGCATAATTGCGAGTCCGCAAACTTACACATGACGTATTTACATTGAAGAAAAAACCTCGTTTCAGACGTTAGTCGCCCCGAGAAGCAAAAACAGCCGCACCTGTGCAGATCATGGAGCAGGCAATTTTCCATCGTGGAGGTCCCTGACCAATCGCTCTCGCTTCACTCCCAGGCACTTTCTAGCATAATTGCGGGTTCGTGAACTCACAAATGACCTATTTACATTGAAGAAAAAACCTCGTTTCGGACGTTTGTAGCCTCGAGAAGCGAAAACAGCCGCACATGTGCAGATCATGGAGCAGGCAAATTTTCCAACGTGGAGGTCCCTGACCAATTGCTCTCGCTTCACTCCTAGGCACTTTCCAGCGTAATTGCGGGTCAGCGTATTCACAAATGACGTCTTTATATTGAAGAAAAAACCTCGTTTTGGACGTTTGTAGCCCCGAGAAGCGAAAACAGCCGCACCTGTGCAGATCATGGAGCAGGCAATTTTCCGTCGTGGAGGACCTTGACCAATGGCTCTCGCGTCACTCCCAGGTACTTTCCAGCATAATTATGGGTCCACGAACTCACAAATGACGTCTTTACATTGAAGAAAAAACCTCGTTTCGGACGTTTGTGGCCGCGAGATGCGAAAACAGCCGCAACTGTGCAGATCATGGAGCAGGTAATTTTCCGTCGTGCAGGTCCCTGACCAATCGCGCTCGCTTCACTCCCTGGGATTTTCTAACATAATTGCGGGTCCGCGAACTCACAAATGACGTCTTTACATTGAAGAAAAAGCCTCATTTCGAACGTTTGTTGCTGCGAGAAGCGAAAACAGCCGCACCTGTGCAGATCATGGAGCAGGCAAATTTCCGTCGTGGGAGTGTCAAACATTATACATGTTGTAGCTTTGTAGGCTACAGTGGGTTTAGCCTTAGGGGGTACACAATTCTAGGGTTGCATATTTTACTCCCATTCTTGCTAGTGACTTCATTCCTCGTTCTGATTTTCACATGGTTTCAGAGCAGGTTCCCTAGTGGGAACTTTTCCTAGGGCCCACCCAAATCGATCTTTTTTTTCCTGCCCGGGGCGCGCGTCGCCCCTGCCCGAGGCGCGCTCGGTGTGCTGCCCTTACGCGGCCCGTCGCGCCCTCCTCACGCTGCCTTATGCGACCCCTTTCGCCGCCCTTAACGGCCCCGTCGCCCTTCGCGGCCCCGTCGCCGCCCCTTGCGGCCGTGTCGCCGCCCTTCCGCGGCCCCGTCGCCGCCCCTTGCGGCCCCGTCGCCGCCCCTTCGCGGCCCCGTCGCCGCCCCTTCGCGGCCACGTCGCCGCCCCTTGCGGCCCCGTCGCCGCCCCTTGCGGCTCCGTCGCCGCCCCTTGCGGCCCCGTCGCCGCCCCTTGCGGCCACGCCGCCGCCCTTTAGCGGCTCTGCCGCCCTTAGCGGCCTCGACGCCGCCCTACCGCAGCCTAGCCGCCGCCCCGCTGCGGCCCCGACGCCACCCCTCACGGCCCCGAGACCGCCGAGCCGCCGAGCTGCCAACCGCCGAGCCGCCGAGCCGCCGTTGCTGCCGTTGCCACCGAGCCACCGAGCCACCGAGCATCTGAGCCATTGAGCCGCCGAGCCGCCGAGCTGCCGAGCCGCTGAGCCGCCGAGCCGCTGTTGCCGCCGAGCCGCTGTTGCCGCCGTTGCCTCAGCCGCTGCAGCCTAGTTGCCGCCGTCCCTGCAGTCGCGGCCCTGTCCCCCCCGGCGAGCCTCGGCCCTTCTCGCCTGCCCGGTAAGAGCAGCGCCTCTGCCACTGCACTGCCCTTAGCCTGCTGCTCTCACTGCTCGTCTACTGCTGTCATGGCCACCCCCAGTGTTCTCACCTTTGACGCTGAGGGTCGGGCTGTTGACTTTGAGGTCTGGGTAGATGATCTGCAGCTTTTCCTACAGTGCGATAGGGCAGACGGTCTCTCCCTCTTTGACCTCACTTCTGGTGCCTCTCCTTCCCCTGCTGCTGATGCTGACGCCACTGTTCGCTCACAGTGGGCCACGCGCGATGCTGCTGCCCGCCTTGCTGTGCGCCGCCACTTGCCGACCACTGAGCGTGCGCACTTTAGTCAGTACAAGAGTGCTAAGACCTTGTACGACGCTGTAGTTGCACGCTACTCTTCCCCTGCCACTGCTGCGCTTAGCCGCCTCATGCTGCCGTACCTCTTCCCTGACCTCGCCGCTTTTCCCACTGTCGCTGACCTCATTACGCACCTTCGCACTAGTGACATTCGCTACCGCGCTGCGCTTCCTGC